AGAAAATTCCGTCCAGTTTCAATTTGTTATCTCTCAAAAACCTATCAATCATGTATAAAATAGTTGATAAGTTAATAAATACAGAAATAAACAAAAATCAACTGCTTACTTTTGATTGATTTAATAATTATCACTAATTCAACTTCATAAATGATTGATAAGTTTCAATCAATACTAAGAACTAATTAAACATAATATTAGTTTTAGAAGGGGTTTTGTAGAGATTGTAGTAATTTCAACCGTTGAGATTATGAGTCAGTTGAAGCTAGACCACTATGGAAAACCTGGAAGCACTAGACGGCCTGGCGTGAAACTTATAGGTCCTGGGTTCGAATCCCACGAGGCGAGGTCGTGGATGCACAGTACCGGAGAGGAGTCCCACAATAGGACGAAATGGCCGTCCAGTGCTTCTAGGTTTTCCATGATGATCTAGCTACAAATGAATGATGATCTCAACTGTTGAAATACTATTAGTTACTATTCAATGATTAATTAAATTATTAAATATTTCAGTCTTATAAAAAGTTATCTATAATCTAAACAGCTCACTAGTAAATTTAAAGTTAAATAACATAATTTTAAATATATCAGTTGTTTTGAGATTGTAAATTCATCTTCTTGACATGCTTCAATTCGTCCTGTAATTACTTATTAACTCTTATTAACCGTTTAATCAAATGAGTGAATGTCATAAAATGAATATTAAATCATCTTTTCTTTCTTATTGAAGCAGAATGTGAGAAATAAACAAATAAGCAGACAAATGATCTAATCCTACTGTTATGCTAATAATGTTATATTCCGATGAGAATAATGAATGGTAACTGTTAGAATCTATTTCTGGACTAATACTATCAATATATTTTCATTATAGAATTGTCAGGTAACCAAACTATTTATATTCGTGTTCCTCTTATTATAAGCTTTATTTTGACCTACAGATTGTTATTATACGATTTATCGTTCCTGAGGTATATCCAATCTATTAATTACAGTCTCCCACATTCACAGCCACGTTTGGCTAGATCTTGTACAAATGTTAGTTTCTATTTTGTAGTGTGATGTGGTCTGTTTGGTTTGTATATAAACCCAGTATGTTTGAAATACATGATTCATATCGCAGAGGCTGAGACTGGTGTTTCGAACTCAACAGGCAGGGCTAGGCAAGAAGCAGAACTGATAAAGACTCTAGACTGTTCGTACAGGTTTATGCGTCATTCGTCTGGTCGATAAATCACTGGTCTCTAATTGGCGGTATCATTACATTATACATTGATAGAGGCACAAATCCACAAGTTATAACAAATAAAATTTGAGATATTTTAATTTACTGTAATTTCTAGACTGCACTTCAAAAAAACAAGCTACTTGAGTCTGATATATATTTTTAGCTAAATTTTGCTATTGACAAAATGACCAGCATCTTTTTACTGCTACTAATTAGTTATACCATGAGAGATGTAAATTACTCAAAACCATCCAGCTAAGAGAACAAAACTCCACCAAAATCATCCACCTGAGCTACAAATCTTCTCCACCATCTCAAATTAAGTGGTACGGTTAATTAAAGCTGTGGCATTTTTTTTCTACCTCAAGTCAATAGATTGAGTAAGTTTCAACTACTTAAGATTGCTTATCATTATGCTAATCAGTATCTATAAAGTTTCTTTTTACTTAAAGCGATCAAGCATCGAACTTTCGTTTCAATGAGTGCACTTAAGCTATTCAAGATTTTAACGACATCATAATTGTCGATAATTAATTTAAACTGTAGGAAGTAGTTATCAACACAAACTAGTAGAAACAATAAACCGTTAGATAGCTGTTTCATTATAGGATAAAATACCTCGGCAATGTTTATCCACTTAACTACATGAAATCAATCTTAGAACTATCAAGTAAAACCAAAAGCACTATGTCGTTAATAAATGAGTAACAATTTATTGGTCTGTATTTTTAACTTCAAATAACCGGATCTTTAAGTGAAGTTAACAGTAGGTTACTTTCTCAACTCTGATCTGGTTAAAAGATGTCTTGATTATTTTGAGCTGATTCTCCATAAAATCGTATGTATGTATGGCTTAAAAATCTCAAAATAAAAGTAAACAGCGTGAGACTATAATTTATGGACGAGCCAATCACGTATAAGAATAAAGGTCTCGGATTTCGGAGCGAAATTCACCCATCCATTTAGCTAAATAGAGTTTTGGCATTATGGCTTAGGTCATCTCGTGAAGAAAACCCTAAATCTAATTTCTAACCTTAACTATCAACTTTAAGTCATAGTTCTAATTTCTCACAGGTTTATAACCATCATTTGGTCCTAGTTATTCGATGAACATTCTCAAGGTCACTGTAACGTCACTCAAAGGTCGTTCATAAATTATATTCTCACCGTGAACATTTCCTTACTGCTATCTGGCTATCAAGAGTCGTATATCAAATACAAATTCATGATTTGAAACCCTATATCTAAATTAAAATTTCAATGAATGATTTCAGTTTAATTTCAAGATGTAAAATGATATTAAGATAATTGTGTTACTTAAATAATCAATGATTGATACCATTGGTCTGTTGACTGCTTGGTATATTCTAAAACGGCTGGTCAACGGAACTACAGTCAAAGTGTAGTGAACAAGAACATCAGTGGGGACAATCGACTAAATTTGACTGGAAATTACAGAGGATCTCACTAAAATTTGAGAACCATATAGTAAATCGTTAATTTGCATAATATCAATCCATCAAATCAAACTTGACTGTTCCTGTTGCAAACATCAATCCATTGTCTCAAATTTCATTGTTCATGCATTTTCATATCAACTGTGTTCCGTTCTCATTCTTTCCTCATTGACCTTCTACTGAAATATATTCTATGTCTGACCACCATTATACACTACTTATATGGACATAAGTAACCCACGCCACAATAGTAAATAACTAAATAATTGAAAATCTCATTTACCTACCTGTATATACTTATAAATTGTAAATCAATTAACTTTGCTTCCTAGCAATACAAGAATGATGACTGAGACTGAATGAAAATTTGATTCTAATTCTCTTACGAATCAAGTGAGGCTTTGAAGTGAAATATTCTATCTTTTTTTCTATTAATTCTAAATAGTTTAGTTATTAATTAATATAGTTAGATCCCATCGGATTATTAACTTTTAGCATTGTCTCTCTGTGGTCTCTGATCAATATCTTCTAGACATTTTGTGGACTTTGTTCAATTTGAGAACGATTGATTTATTTCTAACATTTATCTAATCCTTACTACCGATTGAATTCTGTCGATTAATTTGCAGTGTGATTAGTAGTCTTAAGGACTCAAACTTGAGTAAACCGCGTTGAGATGTTAGGTAGTTGAAGATAGCTGGAAATAGATTTTGTGATACGTGGCATTTGTCAGCAAGAAACGCCTATAATTTTGATGAGACTGACGTTCTTAGTGGAATTCGAATAGTTACTTCTTTCAACAACCTAAAATTTCAATATAGGGTAGACGATATCGAGTGATTTAGACTAGTTGCCACATTGCAAATTAACAATTAGGATTCGATATACACTAAGAATTAGACAAACATGATACTAGTCACTGCTCATTGATCAGTCATTAGCAAACATCTTAACCCCATAATAAATCAGCAGCAGACCGGGTAGCTCAGAACTACAATCTGATGAGCCGAGGCTGGTCTACGTGTGTTCGGATCTTAAAGGAAATGCTAGTTCCCTGATGTTAGTGAGGACACCTTGCTCTTGAGTAGCAATTACCATGAAATCGAGGTCTATGATTTCTTGCCAACTAACGTCAACCACTAGATATATATATATATATATATATATATATATATATATATATATATATATATATATATATATATATATATATATATATATATATATATATATAATCTGTTGTGACTTAAGTCATAAACATGGGAAATTATAAAAAATAGAGTGGTTTACTGCTACTCACTTTGTCTATTACCTTTTCATACTTTCATGATTTAGACAGTTTTCGACAGGAAAAACTATTATTCCACTTTGATTATTCCATGAGGCTCAGTTCAGCGTTTAGATCACTTTGTTTTAGTTGGTGAGAATTTATAGAAAATCATTCGTATGAAATGCCTTTTACATACTTAGTACCAAGATCATGTGGAATTACTTGCTTAAATCTGAAGAAAAGCACGGATAAACTATGTTCGTACATAATCAGTTAGAATAAATGTATACGTGTTAGCAGTCGCCCAGCTATTCAGTAATATGCAACACAAAACCTGGCGCATATGAGCATTGATTCAACTCCCCATAGCACATTAACACAGCGAGATAAGATTATAGAAGAAATTCACAGAGTAGTTATAGAAGCAATATCAGTAGTAGTGGAACGATTCGGTCTAAGAAAAACACAAAATATGTGAGGGGCATATCCTAAAAAGAACTGTTACCAGAATCATTTAGATACATAAAAATTTTAAAATATCCTAGTGATTCTCTTAAAACCCGCAAAACAATTAAGCTACCTACTGCTACGTTCCATTTAATTTATGCATATACATATAAACTACTTTTAAGTAGTACAAGTGTCTGTAACAAAACAATCGGCCTCCCGAACTTCGGTGGTGCGGGATCGTGGATGCGCACTGCTGAGGAGTCCCATACTGGGATGAAACGCCCGTCCAATGCTTTCAAGTTTTCCATGGTGGTCTAGCTTCAATCGACTCATGATTTCAACCTGTGCAATAGTCATTCATTAAACCATAGTATCAATTTATTTGTGATTCCACCTGGAGCCCCCCTGGGGCTACTGCCGGTCCCAAACCCGGATAAAAGAGGAGGGTTGGGCATGGGGTTAGCAACCCCACTCCGTAGAAAAATCACTCGCTGAAAAAACGCTAACCAACAATTTATTTGTACAACTTAACAAAAACACTATATTCATTTCAGATATTCTATAAATTATCATTAAAAATAAAAGATGGAACTAATCTACTTACGTTTTTTTCCCATTCATTTTCATTTTATTATCCTAAAACTATATATTTCATTTAGAGTATATACCATGTAAAATGTGTCAAATTAAGGCTAATAGGAGACAAACTTAAGATAGACAAATAATTCTGATCAGTAGCCTATGCTCCATTGGGAGTAAAAGGTGTAGTAAAGTAAGTAAGTAAGTAAAAAGAAAAAAGAAAGAATTTTTCTTATAATCAGTTACTAAACTGTAATTAACTTTTTTAATGGATTATTCGTTCAAATACACTGAAACTATTGTAGTCCTGTGACAGTTTTACTTTTCTTTTTGTGTTCCTCACTTTACTTCCAGTAAAGATTCTCCTCGATAGATTATTTCTTCTTTAAATTAATCGTTTCATAATTTACCTTGTAGTTAAGGAAAAATAGAAAGAGGAAACAATAAACAAACAATTTTACACATGAAAAAAGAAATTACAGTGATAAAGTTTCAGTGATTAAAGTTGAAAGGAAATCAATATTTCACTTGGTAGTCTGTTTTAAGCTTTACCATTGAAAAGGACTATTTAATCTATAAAGTTGAGTAACGTATTTATAGGTAAATGATGATTAGAAATATGACAACAATTGATGATGTAATAAATAAATTGCAGTTGAGACTATGTGAAAATAGCGTGAAATAACTGGTTGATAAATGCTATTCAGAATTATACTAACCAACTTCCCGATGAATATCTACTTACTTACTTACGCCTGTTACTCCTCGAGAAGGAACATAGGCCGCTCACCAGCATTCTCCATTCAACCCTGTCATGGGCGATGCTTTCCAGCTCTTTCCAGTCGTTATCCATCCTTTTCATATCTACTTCGATTTCCCGACGTTATGTGTTCTTTCGCTTTCCTCTTTTCCGATTCACTTTAGGATTACAAGTTAGCGCTTACCTCGTGATGAAGTTTGACGATTTGAGTAGTGTATGTCCTATCCATTTCCATCGTCTTTTCCTAATTTCCTCTTCAGCTGGAAGTTCGTTTGTTCTCTCCCACAGAAGGCTATTGCTGATGGTATCCGGCCAATGGATGTTGAGTATCTTGCGTAGACAGCTATTTATAAATACTTGTACCTACTTGATGGTGGTTGTTGTAGTTCTCCAAGTTTCAGCTCCGTACAGTAAAACTGTCTTGACGTTCGTATTGAAGATCCTCACTTTGATATTGGTTGAAAGTTGTTTTGAGTTCCATATGTTCTTCAATTGTACGAATGCAGCCCTTGCTTTGACAATCCTCGCGTTTACGTCCAACCAGAATCTAACCAGAATTTATATTTTCTTTTCTTATTCCTCTTTCTAAGAAAATAAGTGTATTGATATTATTTAAAGCCACTGAGTTTGCACAAACTATAAAATTCTTATCATTTTTCAGTATATTTAAGATCCTCAGTCAGAATAACTCAAATTAAACCAGGTTTGGAAATAACACGTTAAAAGAAAATTGGCAATAATATTCTGGTTAATCCAACAAAGTTGACATCACACAATTTTATTTTATATGTTGCAGGGACAAACAATGTCTCCAATCCATTGGGTCACATGTTATGTATGTCTGAACACCATTTACTGTGACGGCAATGCTAACTAGTGTTGGGGACGGTTGGAAGAAAGTTAGGGGCGGCCAAACTAAAGCGTGGCATCAGTCCACAAAGTTACTAACTCCTAGTCTTAGTCATGTTGGTAGATGTGGATTACTTGGTTGGGGTCCGTGTGACTATCGTAACCAATGGTTGGAGACTCTTGGTGACATGGCTCAGAAACGGTCACAATGGCGTATGCGTATTCACCCCTTGTCTTCCCTTAAACCGTGAGATTAAAATTGCTTTATGCCTTTCTTTCTACAAACTAATTCTTTTTCACTGTATAGTATCGTTATATGCAATCTTTCTTTATATATTACTACGATTGAAGTGACTACTTCTATTAATTTGGTGTTGATCTTGTTGTATTAATGAGGTGTTTGATAAGTCTTGCCGATTGAACGCTATATTCATCTCCTAAGCTATCCTGTAACCCCAAGCTAGAACTATACAGCGACCTGAACACGAGAGAGAAGATGCGAAGCATGCGAGAAGTAGCTTACTCTAAAGTTCATTTTAACACAGAAAATATGGGGTTTTTATAATATTTTTAGATGTCCTTGGGTTGCTCGAAGATTCTGGAATGCTACTAAACATAGTAGCAGTGTAGCAATCAGCCAATCAGAACCTCTTCATGTGACGTTCCACCCCCTTGATATTTTTGGCTAAAACTTCAAGCAAACTGTGATTGGAGGAAACGCACCTTAGTGTTTCCTGATCCTTGCTTGTGTTTTGCAAGCAATTTTCTAGATCACCCCAAAAGTGTTGCAACTTGAACCAATGCATATATGTGCGCGGTCCTACGTTGTAGCTGACTGACTGACCAGTCCATTGGGTGACCATTAACTGAATGTTATCTGAAAAGATTATACGTCTGTATTTTTACTTCGGTGTAAACGTCTTTCATCATAGAACGAGAATTTGATCTCAAAAAGATTTTTCATCTATTTCACTCTCTATATGATATAAAATGCATACCTTTCATATTCCAGGATCACCCTTTCAATACAATTGTTGGATTTCATACAAACTACTTAATTACACTTAAGATGTTTTTTAAAAAAAATGCATTTTAATAATAACACAAACTGACTAGAGCTAGACATTTACTTAAAATCAAAAAGACTGAATAGTTGTTTTATTTTTATTCGAGATTACACAACGGTATCTATCAACGGTTCTATCGCAAAAGATCGAACCCAACATCTTCAGTCTCATGCACCAACACTTAACTTCTAAGTCACTAACCCCGGACCAAATGGTGTACATGTCTAATTTTAATGAATTCACAATATTACACGACCATTTTTCATTGTGTTTGGTGGAAAGCTGCCTCACAACTGACACTTTTGATATCATTATCATTCGATAGCTTCCACAAACCTCAATACTGATAATTATCATATGCTCATCAGTGACTGATTTTGAGAGTTATATCTGGAGTTCTAATGAGAAGTTATGACTAATAAAGTTAAAATGTGTCGAGTGAGGGGCAGTAATTCACTAAACACAATGAAAGATGGTAGTGCGATATTGTGAATTCATTGAAATTATATATTACCGCTGGACACCGATTGAGTGGTCTAGAAATTAAGCGTTGGAGAGTGAGACCAAAGATGTTGGGTTCGACCTCTTGTGATAGAGTCTCAGATGCGTACTGTTGAGGAATCCCATATAAGAATGAAACTACTATCCAGTCTTACTGGCTTTAAATGAATGTCTAAATTAGGTCGGTTCTTGATATCGATAACATTCAATAATTTCCATAAACTTGTAAATTGAAAAATGTATTTGTTTGTGATACTAAATAGTCTTCTTTACATGGAAAAATAAACTTTGAATATCTTGTTTCACATGTTGTATTCGAACACTTATGCCAACAAAACAAACTCATAGAGAATCCAATGTCATCAGTTTAACCGAAAGAAATACTTAGCAATTTATAACCAATAAGATTAGCATTATTAAATAAACATAAATATTAGTTCTCATTTTTAGAAGAGATGTATTTGTTAATAAACTATGAAAGATTATTTAACCAAGTGATTTCATAATATTTATAAGTGTAAAAGCTAATTGTTACATAGATCTACTTTTTCTATGGTGGTCTAGCTTCAATTGACTCATGATCTCAACTATCTAAATTACTATGATATTCACAAAATCCCCTTCTGATATTCATCAACATATGCTCACCAATCACCGGCTTCAAGAGGTATATTCCAGAGTTCTAGTGAGTAGCAGTGACCAGTGAAGTTCAACTGGATCTGTAGTGAGATAGTCACTCACCGATGACAATGGTGAATGTGTCGTTCAGTTTCATGAATTAGTTGAAGTTAGACATTAACACAGTTGAATGTTATCTGGTTCAGTGGTCTAGTGATTAGGCGCTTGCGTGCAAGACTGATAAGTTCTGGTTTCAAATCACACGAAGCGAGGTTGCAGCTGCACACTACTGAAGAGTCCCACAATAGAACGAAACGGCCATCTAGTACTTTCGGGTTTTCTGTGGTAGTCTAACTTTAATGGACTCATAATCTCAATTATCGAAATCACTATAATATACAATTGATTTGTATTGACTAATATTTAACGAATGGAAGAAATCTGTATAAACTAAATTTATAAAAAGATTATGGAATAAAACTTTTTTTGCTACCATAGGGGTTGTGGAGATTATTAAGTTTTTGATTGAGACCATGAACGGTTTGATGTTAGACCACCTTTGGAAACCTGGACGAAACGACCGTCCAGTGCTTCCAAGTTTCCAAAGGTAGTCTAACAACAATCGGTTCATAATCTCAATCGAAAAAAATTCTTGTTGTTGCTAACTTACAATAAGATTTGGTAATTGAATAGAATTTAAATTGATACATTGTTCGTTATCTTGTTTCCAATGATTCATGAATTTTATATTGAAATTAGAGACACCTGATGATTTCCTATTTATTGAAGGAGCTGAATATGATCGTAATTTATGGATTTTTGATGAATTCCTTTGATATGATTTATTGAAATTATCATTGATTAATATATCTAATTGATCTAGTTCATTATACTTAGTTACTATATTATTATTATTATTATTATTATTATTATATTTTATATCAAGATCAATATAAGTATCTTTTATTGATTGAACATTTTGTTTATGATTAAATTGATTTCTTTTTAAATAATGAATTTGTTTTAATAAATAATATTTAAATTGATTAATATCATAAGATGATTGATAGAAATATTGATTTGTTAATAACTTTGAATAATCAATAATATTGGCACGATTATTATTAGTAGTATTAGTAGTAGTAGTAGTAGTAGCAGTATTAGTAGTATTGTTGTCATTCGTTACCTTTACTTGTTTTGTTTGATGTTCTATAGTTGAAATATTTTGTTTCATTGATTGATTGAATAGATTATTATTATTATTATTATTACATAATAATTGTTCATGTTCTTTTTGTTTTAATTCTTTAGTAACTGCAAATGCTGATTTAGGACGTTTTATAACACTTGTGATAGATTAAGAAAATGTTTATAGTGAAGAAAGATATAAAAAAGGAATAAAAATAATGAATTAAAATATGATTTAGTAAAACGATTTATTCATATTGTTAATATTGATAATCTCTAATGGACTTAAACCATTAACTGAAATGTTGAATTCAGTTAGCTTAGAATGTTTTACAGAATATACATATTTTAAGGATCATTTATAATGGATAGAAAATATATTGTGAGATCTTTGATTGAGATCATGAGTCAATTGAAGTTAGACTACCATGGAAAACCTGGAAGCACTGGACGGCTGTTTCGTTCTATTGTGAGACTCCTTAGCAGTGGTGTTAGTGTCCCACAATCGGACGAAATGGCCGTACAGTGCTTCCAGGTTTCCATCGGTGGTCTAACATCAATCGGCTCATGATCTCAATCAAAGAATTTGATAATCTCCACAACCCTTATACTAATATTGTAAGATTTCTGAAAGATATCTGAAGAATGTTAGTAAAAAAGAAATAGGGGCAAGACTACAAGTTATGGATGAATCAATCAGATTTAAGATAACAGGTCTTGGATTTTTACTCAAAAATTATTATCATTATTATTAGTATTCGCATTCGTGAGAACTTCAAACCTAAAACTGATTATGAGGCCTATTTCCTAACATTATAATGTACATATATGTAAATTAAAATGACTTCTACTCAAGATAATTAATACAAAAGGTGAATTTTTCTTATCAGACTTTATTTTCATTTACATGTAACATAGATATGATTCCTTTTGAGATAGGTCCTCTTAATATGCATCAAACTACTATCATTTTGAAAGCCAAAAAATAGCAAATATAATAGTTTACATTCACGCAGTATTGTTTATTTGAATCTTCTCACTGATTTTTAGGACTGTAATCGGTCAGTCTCTCATTGACATATATGAATTTTGTGCGGATCACCTCGATATTGCCTTAAATCAAAAGCATTATAAACAAACATCAATGATAGATAACAGTGGAATCCAGGAAACGCGTCTCGTCCTACAGGGCTCGCGTCCTGGAGTAAACATCAACTGCGGGATACAGATACGTCCGGTTATCGAGTTCCAAAATGGACGAAACGTACTTCGTAAATTCCACTGCTAGACACCATCCATCTTTGTTTATAATAGTTAAATACTGTTAATAGCTAGTAAGAAAATTCCTTTATTATTCATCATTAAAATCAATATGTTTATGTTAGTGATATGTCTTGTTTAAAATAGAGTCACACTAACTGTAACTTGAGAATACAAGGACCCAACATTATTTCGTGGGGGAGGGTAAAGTCACAATCTAAACTTTGAGTCTTCAAAAAAAAGAAGGGAAGGTGATATGACGGGAAGGAAAATCAAAATCCCATTAATTTACTCATTATGAGTCTTGTTCAACATTACTTCCGTTTTTGATTCAATGTAATGATTACTCAATGAAGTACTTGTTTTGTTTTCTCGTATGATAACTTATTCTGTATAACATACAATATTCGTGTATTCAATTGACATGAACTATGGTCATCATATGATTTGTCATATATATGATTTCATCCTAATTAATCAAAGTGTTTGCACAATCAATATATAAATGAGTGTATTTTTGACTAGCATCGTCGTATTTTGGGGTTAACAAATCTTCACTTATACCCGTCTTTGTGTTCTTACTTTCGCGTCGTGGGGATTTCAGAGATATAAATGATAAGTGTTTCCGACATAACAATCAGTGACGACCAAATATAAAACGTAGCTTACAAAACAACAAGACGTATCAGTGGCGACGGGGATTTTGGATAAAGTCGGCAATACATATCAGTTAGAAATATTGCCTAAAAACGAAATCAAATCAAACCTGTGCTTCACCGCATATGTTCCCGGTATTGGTGGTGATATTAAAAACTCAAATTCAAAAGATTTCTTTTTATTATTTCGTAACAAATCATTGGATCTATTAGAATTTGATTGAATCAATGACCCTGATGATATTCTACTCATTCTATTTGACTTTGAATGTTCACTTAAAGATCGACAAGCTGAAATGTTTGTAGAGAAGAAATACAAGTAATGAATCAAAATTTGAACTAGTAAAATGATTTATTCATATTGTTAATATTGGTAATCTCTAACAGATTAACTTGAGAAATGTTGAATTCAGTTAGCTTAGAATGTTTTACGGGGTCATTTGTAATAGATGGAATATATATATATATACATTTATATAGCAGTGGAATCCAGGAGGCGCGTTTTGTCCTATTTGGGACTCGTCGTCTGGATGTACCTGAATCTCAGAGCTGATGTTCACTCTAGGACTTGGACCCAGTACTGTTTGCTTCAAACGCCATCGCATTATCCACTTAGTCAGTCCGCCTAACATTTTGAAGAATGTTAGTAAAAATAAGTTTATCATATCATATAAGCGCATTCAAAAGATCTCATGAAGATATGCATAAACGAACATTGTGTGGCTTATTTATACTTTATTTATTAGTGATTCCAGTGTCAGATTCTTTTATTAACAGCCCGAATGCATTTCGATAAATGAAATCTGAAAGAAATGTTCCCATGTATTACGGGCATCATACGACATCCAAAAAACTGTACATCATTACTCACTGTATAAATAATATGACAGGATTCCATTTTAATTTAGTTTATTATTATATTAAATGTCAGACGCTAAGGAAAGTTACCAAAGAAATTAGGTTCTAGTGTTTAGAACAATTCCATCTGTTGATTCCATGGTATTATCTTGATCACACTTTAAAAGTTTCCTACTATCAACCAAAATATTCTTACTTCCATCTATGTAATAATATTGATTTTGACTCGATTAGAATAAACCAGTAAAATAATAATGTTCCTTTTTAAAAAAAACCTGAACTTAAGTTTCAGAATTAATGGCACTCCTCAACAAACCGTATCTGCAATCCTAAGGTGATTGATAACATCTTCGGCATTCAAGTCACAATCATTCATCTATAAGATTGGAGATGGTGCTGACCAGATATTAGAAGTGTGGTCAGTAGAATTCTAACTCGTCAGTAGCCAAATAAGCTTATCATTAGTTTGAGTGTAGAGTCAAGATGAAAAAATGAATATTGATTGCTGATAACAACCATGTCGGTACGTGATAACTACTTTTGGCACTCGATATGATTAGAAGATATTTTCTCAAAGGTTGTACACATGACCTTCACTTCTAGGACTTAAATTGCCTGATGATGTAGGAATTAATTTATTGAAACAAAACCTTAAGGCGTAGTTTCAAATTCTATAGTCTTATTCCGGTTTTTCTGATTCAGGTAAAACTATTTTGATTTAAATATTCAGATTACTTGGATTTAGCTAGAAAAGGACACAAACAGATACATTTTTGTCAATGTTCACTCATCTATTCAATATTAATAATAAAGATCTGTTTCATCATGAATCATTTTATAATGTAAACCATGAGAGCTTAAAGTAAGGTAACACATTTTAAACAATCTAATCAAAGGTTTAAGATAAATTTCCAGGGTTTTTATTAGTTTTAATAGGAAAACTAACTTTTACAGGAACACAACAGTAATCAAAATGAAAACAATCAAAATAACTAGCTGAACGAAATTTAGAAATTGGATTCATCTAATGCTAACTTGTAGATTTAAAAGTCATGAGTTTAACACAAGATTTGAGTATCCTGAGTTTAAACCCTTATGGGTTCGTCGGTGGATACAACTGAAGAAGCAGATACGAGAGTGAAACAACTATCTAGTATCTGTTAAGTTTACAATGTTTGTTTATATGAAGTTAGTTCATGATATGAGCTGTTTAGCGATTTTTGCCAGGTGTTGTTCGGCGAGATGGGGTTGCTATCCCCATGCCCAACCCTCCTTCTTGATCAAGGCTTGGGACTGACAATAACCCTAGAAGGGCTACAGGCGGGGTCGGTTAGGGAATCCTAACAGGTGGCCTATATTCCATGAAGAGTAAAAGGTGTAAGTCATAGTATATTAAGTATTTGACTGGATATAATACCTGTACTTCACCAATGAGAGTCAAGTTGTTTTTGTTATTTATCTCAGATAGATTAAAACAAAGCAAAAAATCACTCGCAAGCGAGATTGCATAGACTATAGGATAAATTCTTTGGTACAAACCTGATTTACGCCTTACACCTATCATATTTGACTGTTTAAAAAATCTTGGATCTGCTGAATTAATTAAACATGATCTAATATATCTTGACTCAGCATAACTAGGCTTAGAGTGTAATGAATTGTTATTCTGTTGATTTGATTTATTCTTAATTGATTTAAGCCAAAATTCTTCCGCTTTATCTTCAACTGATTCATGATATTCCCATTTTACAGTATCAAAATTTAAAGCTAATATATTGTGTTGTGTATTAACAATTAATCTATAATAAACAGAATTAAATTAGATTGAAAAACAAAACATGATAAATAATCTACTATAAATTAATGGTTTGTGATAATTGAATAACAATTCAAATACAATTCATTTGTTTACTGGTTGTTTGAATCTTACCATTAGTGTTTAGGAATGTAATCAGTCAGTCTCTCATTAACATATGTGCATACTGTGCGGATCACCTCGATATTGCCTTAAATCAAAAGCATTACAAACAAAGACCAATGATGGATAACAGTGGAATCCAGGAAATACGTCTCGTCCTACAGGGCTCGCGTCCTGGAGTAAACATTAACTCCGGGATACAGATACGTCCGGTTATCGAATTCCAAAATGGACGAAACGTACTTCCTGAATTCCACTGCTAGACACCACCCATCTTTAGATGGTGGTTGGAGGTAGTCAACAGGAAACCCTGGACCCGGGTTCCATGCTACTTGGTACTCGTCAGCAAGGTGTACCTGTAATCTAGAGGGAACTGGTGCTCCCTGGCGGATTCGATCTCGTGTCACCCAGCTTCACAGTCACAGACGTTACCACTGGGCTATCCGAGCCGTGACTAACCTTCATCTTTGCTTCTAATTCAAAGAAAAGTTCGTTTAAGTAATCAAAAGTCATATACATGTTAATCTTTATGCCATGGCGTTATGTTTTAAGTGATTATAAGGCTAAAAAGTTTACCTAATGCTTCTTACATGAAAAACATACATAGAATTCAATCACCGATTATTCTGTAGCACCGAAATTCGCTAATCCATTCATTGAAGGATTAATATGAATATTCAGCGATGTAATTCTTATGTAAAACTGTTGGATCATTTGACAACATTATGTAATTACATGATCAAAAATAGAATATGTATGTATTATATATTACCTAGAAACCACTTTTTAAGAGTAATAATCACTAAAAAGCAAACAAGGTTTAAGAGATAGTATGATGATGTTATCAAGAAGCTAAGTCTTCTCATTTTAATAATGACTGTCTTTGTGTTCAGAGAAATCGTTGTAACTTATAATTGGAAACATATAGGTAAATAGGTTCATTCTTCGTCTGTAGTGGAATTTTATAAAAACGAATAATTCTACACTGTTGTAACAGGAGGTGTCCGAAATCTGATACTGATACTCGATGTGCTACATGATAACCCCCCAACTGACTACTTGGGCTAGAACACAAGAGTGACTGAGAAAGTATGTTAGGCTACCGAATAAAACGTACAAATACTCATTCACATATATACTACTCTATCCTTACAAAATTGACCCCAATGAAATGTACTTGACACTTAAGTCACTTCTGACTGCCATCGATTGACTTACTCATTAAGCTACTGCTGATTTACCCACCATATCACACCAGTATATTTTGAATTACTGTACTCCATTTCATTTTTTCTTTAAATATTTTACTTGATCTGTACTATTTTAAAATTCGTCAATATGGATTAATGCCATACTATGGTAAATTTCATAAAAATTCCAATGAACTACTGATTTCAAATGAACTACCAGATTGAATATATTTCCATTACTAGTAAAAAAAGCAGAATTATAGTCTACACAGAATTCTATGTCTTTAGTTAATCCCTATAATATTACGATCAAGGATTATGACAATATTAACTCTTAAGCTCTAAATATCCTTGTTATAATATCTATATGGGAAACTAAAGTATAAAAACTTCTTAATAAAATGGTCAGACTTTGACTTGTTTTTCAGAAGTACATTATTTTCAGAAGAGGTTTTTGGTGGATATTACAGTAATTCCAATAGTTGAGATCATGAGTCAATTGAAGCTAGATCACCATAGAAAAACTAGAAGCACTGGACGGTCGGTTCATCCTTCTGAGGAGTCCCACAACAGGATGTTTATTGAACTTGAATTTTCATATGATAATAGTTTTATAAAAATGTATACACTTTCAATGTTTATGAAAGATTCAATAAATATTAACATAAACTAAAAATATACCGATTTTCCAATGGCATAATGCTTATAATTGGATCATGACGATAATTTCCCGGTAATATTCTTTGACAGTGTTGAGTTAATAAATTCCATACACGTATACGACCATCTGAACAACCAGTTATAATTCTTAAATCAATCAATTCAACACATAACACTTCACTAAATAAGAGAACAAAATTATTGATATTCACTTGGAGTATAAATGAACAAATTATTTCAGAATGCATAAATTGACTATATACTTTAGTTTGCCTTACTCTCTGAGTTTCTTTTATCAATATGTATATTGTAGTTGGCAAACTATGTAACTGTGAATTTCGTATTGAATAATTAAAGATTAAATGACCGTCCAGTGCTTCCAGGTTTTCCATGATGGTCTAGCCTCAATTGACTCATGATCTCAACTATCGAAATGAAAGATTTCTTGCTAATCAGCCATTGATTAACAATATGTAGTTGAAATATTTCATTTAACACATATTTCTAAGTAAATCAATACTGACAACTTAGACTATGGTAATAGACAACGGAAATTCAAACCATACAGTAACAATATGATTTTCCTATAGATCTCAAATGCATACATTATTGAAAAAGTTTATCATCACGAAACTTATATATTGTGTGTCACATAAAAATCAACTCAGTTCATTTAAAACAAACCTTCAAAAATTGGATGTCCTGGTTTCTATCGAATTTCTGATCCTGGATGAATCATTTGTCTAGTTCTCCATGACTTTAGACAATTTTCAACCCGGTCTTATTTCGTAATGACATCTACTAATACGCTGTTGAAATAAGTTAGTATCTGTTACCAATTATTTATGTAATTATTCTACGCCTTACTAGCTACTAACTTTTAGTTCCTAAACATTTATTACTTCCAAATTGTTCAGAGTTATAAGTCATAATCCTTGCTACATAGAGTATATTTCATTATACAATTGAATTTCTTCATAAATTAAACATATTAATCTAGAGGTTAAGCTTTCGTAAGTAAGACCGAAGGTCATGGGTGCAGGAATGAATTACCTACGAATGAATTTCTTGAGTAAGTACCTATACCGTCGCACATAAAGTCTTAGCAGGGCTCTAGTCAAAACAAATAGCTATGTATATATCCAACAAATATGATCTGTTCTTAAAATCTAATTTAATACAATTAGTGCAAAAACACAAAGTACTAGTCAGTTACAAAGAGAAAAATAAACGCGCGTATACCAAGTAGCATCAGGGATACAACATAATGAAGTAAAAACAAGGGTTAGTCATTCTTACTTAACTGGTGCAACTTCATCATTGATAGTTAAATTAAGAGATTCATATTAATAATTGGTTTGGGATTAAATGGGCCTTAGGCGGTGCGTGTTTAACTCAATTATAATTGGTTGATTCGACAGAGATTAACACTGGATTTCATTCCCGCATGTGGAATCGTAGATGAGCTCTGACGAGGAGTCCCAAACTAGGACAAAACTGCCGTTCATCACTTTCAGGTTTAATATAAAGAAAGAACCGTGATTTGATCACAGTGAAGATTTAGAAAACTTAAATAAAAAAGCACCCCAATTGTTACAATCCGCTTACCCAGTATGCACTAATGTACCTATACAGTCGGAGAATTCTCCAATTATAGACCATATTTTTACAGATTTATCCCTGGACGATGTGACTAAATGATAGTTGTCGAACCGTAACGCTGTAATAACATCAGTATGACCAGTCAATACCTGTTATAATAATGATGTTAATAAAACATAATTCAACTGTGTATCATAAAAAAACGTTTTTGATTATCTTTTCTGAATATTATTCAAGTTTGTACACGTTATTCTTTCAGTATAACACATATAGATCAACGTAGAATATTATTCTAATGTTTTCAAAGTTGAATTTGCGATTCGATCTAAGCTACACCACCGTTGAAAACCCGGAAGCACCGGATGACCGTCTCGTCCTAGTATGGGACTACTCGGACGATCCCAAACAAAAGACTCGAACCCAGGACCTTTGGTTTCGCGCGCGAACGCTTAACCACTAGATCACTGAGCCAATAACCAACGGTGTTAATGACTAATTTTAATCGATCCATGATCTTGCATAACCTTTCATTCATTGTCTGAGGTGGATGATTGTTTCACATTCGATACGGATTGGACTCCACTGGTCATGGCTCAAACTGGATGACGGCTCTGTGGTCTGGAGGTTAAGCGTTCGCACTTGAGACCGGTGGTCCCGGGTCCGAGTCACGCGTGCGAAGTTGTGGACGCGCACTGCTGATGAGCCTCACAATAGGACGAAAAGGCCTTCCAGTGCTTCCAGGTTTGCAACGGTGGTCTAATATCAACCGGTTCATGATCTCAATCAAAAACTTAGTAATCTCCATAACCCCTTACTTTGTTTTTTTTGTTGGGTTTATCATTTCATGTAAAATGAAGACATAACTAATTTAAATCAGTGTAATTGTTTGGTAGTGAAAGTAAAGTGTGATTGATCGTTCAGTGTGAACAAGCAGGCACTTAGCCAACTAACTATTAAATATGTGATTCTCATCCCTCTCCTTGATTTCTACTCCGAACCCACTGTGTGTGATTGATTTTAATTGTATTAGATAAGGTATTATCTAGTGTGAATCTGGTTCTCTATTTTGTATAATGAAACCTAGTTCTTCTATAACGAGACTAGTCTAATTAATGAATTAATATAATATCGAAGTATACCTAAGAGAGAGAAAAAATATTATAAACTGTATCTTATATCAGTGATTATTTCTGTATGGATTAAATATAGCGTAAAACTTTACTTACAACCTTTAGTAATAATTATTTAACTAAATTATTATTTATTGAGTTAATTATCGTAGTATTATTATCTGGAGGACCATTTAAAACTAGACGGTACTCTGGTATGAAGATTATAAATAAAATCAAAGTAATGTATTCATTAAATTCACTTGGTATTATTTACTTGAATCTTCCCATTAATGCTTAGGATTGTGATTGATCAGTCTCTCTCTTATTGGCATATGTGCATACTGTGCGATTTGCCTCGATATTGCTTTAATTCACAAGCATTATAAACAAAGATGGATAGTGACTAGCAGTGGAATTTAAAACACGTGTTTCATCCTATTTGGGACTGGTCAGCTGAATGTACCTACATCTCAGAGTTGATGTTCACTCTGATACTCGAGCCCAGTACTGTTCATTTTAAACGCTATCGTGTTATCCACTCAGCTATTGAGTCCTGACAGGTACTGACGAGTCGCAAATAGGACGAAACCCCCGTCCTGTATCCCACTGCTAACCACTATCCATCTTTGCTTATAATTTATTCATTTTCTATTCGATTATTATAGTTTCAACAACAAAAAATATCATTATTGTTACAGTTTATGTAGTAATCAGTTGTATTTATTCATACATTCAGTGCAGAATGTTAAAAATCTTTTTTAAAAACTAATAACTAACTAATTTTATGAATATGATTGTAAGTATTCATTATTTTATGTAATATTAACCTTTATTAAAATTGGTTTTTTATTACCAATTCTCCATACATTTATACGTCCACTATGTTCACCAGTTGTACAAATGTATCCTCTTAAGCCTACTGATGTGATTGGAGTTGAATGTTTCATAATCCATAATGGTTTTTGTTCATCTAATCTCCAAACTTTAAAATATTTCACAAGCATAACAAAAAAGATAATTTAATTCAACGAAAATCTACTAAGTAGTATATCAAATTAATTATTTGGATTATTGTTAAAATAATACTGAATAAAAGTATAATATTTTATACTAGAAGGGAACTATACGAGATAATAAAAGGATGCTTTTCTACTTTGAAGAAATCTAAATACTTGAAAATAACTTTAAATGAACTAAATCATCTTTAACCTTTAAAAGATAATGAACTAGAAGAGTAAACATAAAAAGTATTTTATCCTATTAATTGTTAGATGAAATCATTATTTCTAATTATAAAGAGAGTTGAATGATGGTTAACAGTGGAATCCAGGACGTGTGTTTTGTCCTATTTTAAACTTGTCAGTTCGATGTATCTGCACCGCACAGTTGATATCTAAGGACTATTATTCAACATAAAGAAAATCTAAATCTATTCAAAACTTAGTGTTTTGAGATATGGTTGTAAACTGGTTTTTGATGTTCAACTAATAGGTGCCTGTTCATTTTTATCACCTCACTTGCATCAAGTTTTACATGTCTTTATGTTTTGGCTACTTAGATGAAACCTAATAATATTAATCGATCAATTCAAACTTACTTTTGTGATCAATCTGACACTCGAATACTTGGTAATAACTTCCTAGTCGTTTCCCATTTATTCATTCATCTTTGGACAATCACATCGACTAATCGCTTAAAATTTATGCCCTATCTTGTACACTGACAGAAACCTGAAGCTCAAACAACAAGTGTAAATGACAATTACAATAATGTAAGAAGACCTTTTTCATAAACTCTGAGTTCATAGGTGGTACCATAGCAAATATTCAAAAACCCATTAATGAAATTACTAAGAAAAACTTTCTATTCTCCAAAGCAGTATCTTGTATATTTGTTCATTGATAAATGTAAAACGAAGAATAATTCTATTCTCGAACACTTCGTTATCAAGAAGCAGCTTTTAAAATCACTTAGTTAAATAATCTGGCTTTAAAAAATGCATATCCGAAATCGATTATTTTTTAAAATTTATTTCTTTACTTGTAAACTCTTGTGAAAGAACAAACATATATATATATACTAACAAATGCATACGGAGACAACTAGTGTGGCAGCAGCCTCTGCATTAGTAGGCCTGAACATGAACAAAGGAAAAAACAAGATCCTCAAATACAACACGGAGAACACCAACCCTTCCAACTCTGGAAGATGTGAAATCCTTCACGCACCTGTGGACCATCATCAATAAACAAGAAGGATCAGATACAGACATATAGAAAAGGATTGGCATAGCAAGGGACGCATTCGTACAATTGAAGAACATATAGAACTCAAAACAACTTTCAACCAATATCAAAGTGAGAATCTTCAATACGAACGTCAAGACAGTTCTACTGTACGGAGCTGAAACTTGGAGAACTACAACAACCACCATCAAGTAGGTACAAGTATTTATAAATAGTTTGCTACACAAGATACTCAACATTCGTTGGCCGGATGCCACCAGCAACAACCTTATGTGGGAGAGAACAAACCAACTTCCAGCTGAAGAGGAAATTAGGAAAAGACGATGGAAATGGATAGGACATACATTACGCAAATCACCAAACTGCATCACGAGGTAAGCGCTAACTTGTAATCCTAAAGTGAATCGGAAAAGAGGAAAGCGAAAGAATACATTACATCGGGAAATAGAAGCAGATATGAAAAGGATGAACAACAACGGAAAAGAGCTGGAAAGCATTGCCCATGACAGGGTTGGATATAGAATGCAGGTGGGCGGCCTATACTCCTCCATGATCAGTAACAGGTGTAAGTAAGTAAATATATATATATATATATATATGAAATAATGTTACTATTCCAAAATTTATTAGTTGTATATAAATGAATTCAACTTACTACAACATGTACGATCAACTGAACCACTTGCAAATTGATATGTACCTTGAAATCCTTCTTTTTTAACATCATCACTTGGATTATTATTATTATTATTATGTCTATTATTTGAATGATAAGATGAATATGATCGTTTTTCAGATGTTCTATTATATTTTGACCATAATTTAGTTTGATCTAACCAAATACAAAGTATAGTATCTGTATGACCATGAAATATTCTAATACATTTTGATCGACTATTTCTAAAACTTATAGGATTTAATAGATTTGTTTGTTGATTTAAACAATGTTGATTATTATTATTATTATTATTATTATTATTATCAGATAGATTCCATAAACGAATACTTGTATCATAACTACCTGATAATAAAATTTGAAGTTTAATATCTAACCATAATGTTTTTACACTTCCAGCATGTCCAATTAACCAAACACGATTTAAATGTGCCCTACATATTCAAATAGAAATATAAAATTGATTGTATAGTATTAAAGAAGACAAAAAAAAGAGAGAACATTTTAATGATTGTTAAGTTTATTCGCTCAAAAAACTTCCCATTATATACAAAACACAATGATATGAATGAAGAATATTCATCCCAATGAATTTCTTATCAGGTACTCTATAATTATCTGATATCCAACTGAATAATTCCAAATTATGAATATGTGAATCAAGGATTGTTGTTTGTTATATCAAATCAAATCATATCGTTAATGTTGAAGCTGACTAATGTGAAGTTGTCGACTTGAATCAGTTTATAAGTGAAATGAAATGGTAAGAATAAATGGTCAGAATAAGTATGGTCAACGTTAGGTGAGAGAGAGAGAGTGAATAATCCAATACAAATCAGAAAGTACGTAATATGTAGAATAATATGAATTAGGTCAGATATAGTAGATGTTATTTATTTATTTTATATTTAACACATAGGTATTGGTACAAAGAAGCACCAAATAGATATGCGCCACACAAATCTCATTTGATATGTGTGAGGGCTGTGATACTACCCGGGTGCCCAGACCGAAGCAGGTGCTTTTCTTAGGGGGCCACACCCGGAGCCTTCGACCTGAAGGTCTGGTCCACAAGGCAGTGGAGCAACGTCAAAGGGTCCAGTCACATGGTAGTCTATGACCAACGATTAGTTCATACGCCATTTGTTCCTTTAGGATACTGCAGCCCACGTGCACCATTGGTTTGGAATCAGGGTTTTCCAACTCCCCTAGGTGGACTCTACATGTCCACCAACCCCGTTAAAGCACCGGACATTCGCTTTCCGTCCTCTCAATTTCCTAAACGACACCCCGGTCACGACAATGCAGTGAGTAGGACTTCCCTGGCACAGGCTATATACGCGTGACCATGTGAGAGAATTTCGAGAGGGGTAGCGGACTCTCCCCACTCTCGGCCGTACCAGGACATTTGGGGGTGATACAGTAGATAGAGGTGGATGCTGAATAAATTCCTCAAAAAGGTTATCAAGTGTAATAATAATAATAATAACAATAATAATAGTAATAATAGTAATGGTAAAGATAATAATAATAATAATAACAGGTCTACTTAACTTCAGTCTTAGCATTTCACTCAGTGCATCATCTCTGAATTATAAGCGAATATACGGAGGCTTTTTATTCACAGTTAGACATTCTCTATGCTCCCTTTTAGTGACTATGTTTTTATTTATAATTAATTTGTAATTAATAATTACTAGTTACTTACATAAATTCAGCAGTACTACCGGATTGATTAACATTACCATTTTGTTTATGAATGCAATTAGATGAAGATTTTTCACAAAATGACTTCATAGTAATATCTATAAATTTAATTGTACGTTGTTGAGATCGTCCTTCACAATGAGCTAACCAATGACTTCTATTATCTACATGTATTACACGTCGTTTGCATAATGGTTGATTTGGTTGCCTATAATAATTAAATTATTGAATTAATGTAACAAAAGTAAGTTGTTTTAATGAAACATTCAGTGAATATAATGTCCTGTTTTATTCCTAAAAAGATACCAAAATATATACATAAATCTAATGAACAGACAGATAATTTCACTGGTTGAAATCATTAGTCAATTGAAGCTAGACCGCCATGGAAAACCTGGAAGCACTGGACGGCCGTTTCGTTCTAGTATGGGACCCCTCAGCAGTGTGCATCCACGACCTCGACCCCTGCGAGATTCGAACCCAGGACCTACTAGTTTCGCGCGCGAGACTGATAGGTCATGGGTTCGAATCGGGCGGGGTGGGATCGTTGATGCGCACTGCTGAGGAGTCCCATACTAGAACGAAACGGCCGTCCATTGCTTCCAGGTTTTCCATGATGTTCTAGCTTCAATTGACTCATGATTTCAACCAGTGAAATTTCTAAAATCTCCACAAAACTCCTTCAGACATAGATAATCGAATCACACGTTCTATAATATCAAATACTAGTTTTTTTCTACAAAGTAAATCTGTTGACAAAGTTAAGCGTTACAATTACTTAGTTTTCTAACTTTATTCATCATTTTTATGGTCAAAACTCTTTCACAATTCTAATCTTCCGACTTATTCAGTCACTCATTTAATTGACTTTGTCAATTAATCATGTAACCCTGATTATGGTTTTATGATAGTATGTATGTGTTTATTCATGTTTTGAATTTCTTACAAGATTTATAAAAACTAAGTCACCTTACTATTCTTAGTTGGTCTATTAGCGAACTTCAATGACGTATATAGTCTCTGGATCTTTAATCTGTCATTCAACATACTAGTATGCCTGAAATATATGTACCTTAAATATAATTCGTATTAGACTTTTGATATACCGTTGTTCTAAATGTGCTAAATCGATGGAATACATAAGAAGTCAAGTAGGATATACATTACATTAGCGTAAATATTGTCTGATTATAAAGGGGTCAGACGTTTGCCAAAAATATAAAGTCTTGCAAAATTTTGCAATTCAAATGTTATGATCTCGATTATAAGACGAAATAAAAGTTCATTCTTATAGTTGAGTTCGTTGTGTGGGGTCTGGTACCATGCAACGCCTACATGGACTATTCTAGCATTCGGACAGACCAGTTATTCATCGCAAGTTACATTTTGAACTTGTCAGTTGTTCGCTTATAACATGACTGTTTTTATTTGAGCGTATGTGTATCATTTGCCCAGTTCATTATTTCTTTAGCTGATTTTATCTGACTATAAATAGTAAATCACGCTTTATCAAAGGGAATTGGCACACTTGCCTTTTCCGCTTCTCTTTGTTTGCCTGCTTCTCATTTTAACGTATGTCTGCGTAAACAGTTGAATGAAATAAAGCAATCCAACTTAATTTGTGTTTGGCTCCTTACTATCGCCGTCACTCAAATGGGGTTAGCCTAAGTGTAACATAAGGAAGTAAACGGAAGATCTGTATTCATAGTATATTCATATGTTCGTCCAAAATGGAGTCAGATTTCGGACCACTTTAATTTCCTCTCTTAAATGAACCTCAGGAATTTTACATTGAACCCAATACTATTCATTTTTAATCATGCAACAATACTGAATAGCCTAAAACGTTATTTATAAGCTTGAATGGAGACAAAAAGGCTATAATTTACACCCTATTGTTAATTATTACTAATATCTTCTTAAATATATCCTTTATATAATAGATAGAATTCGTTGTTACTGATTTCAATGGAACAGGACACAATTATTTTCAATAAACTAATGAGTAGATCAGTCGTAAAAATATGCTTTGGCTTGACTTCTTCAGTAAATTTTTCAGCTGTTAGTAATTTAAATGTCTCGAAGCTGATAACACCTATTTATAACATGGAATCTAAGTCACATTTTTAACAAGACGGTAAAATTCCTCAACAAAAAACAAAAATACAAAATGCTACATCTTTACTTTATCAATATTGAATATTACCCATATAAAGTCCTTACCTTTCTAACAATACATAAATGCTAAATGGTCCACAGTAGATATTTCTTTCAAACATCAAAGCATATTGTATTTTTATCTTATTATACGCTTGTTTCATTTCATACGATATTGAATCCCATGATTTTTGTATCAAATCATTCCAATCATCAGATGAATCAGACTATGGTTTTACAAAAATAGAAAAATTCCCTCATAACAAATTATTGATTTAAACAAATGACTGATTGACTATTTATGAAAGAGGAACTTGTGAGTTAGTTCACCTTGACTGAGTTCGAAATTTGTTTTCATCATAGATTGATACAAACTACAGAATTACTATAAGTCAGGAAGCACTGGATGGTAATTTTTTTCATCTTAAAATAAAACTTCTAAATAGTGAACACTCAAAACTCTATCATGGATTGAATTCATTACCTTCAGTTTTGGCTGTGATTTTTTTTAACTCTCACACCATTATGTTTGAATTCACTAGTCTAAATCTCTAAGTTTAATCAATTTGGTTTAATTTATTGTAGCCAAGTGAAAATACAGCAATAAATAAAATGAAATCAAGAAGTATCGGAAAGAAAACTGAAAAATCTAATTACTTTTGAAATCTAATTTATATGAATATTTTATTGCGGCAGTTGTACAGTACTTTTCCAATTAACATCATAATTCCAATGCTTTTAATATTATCTTTCAGTGTACATGATAATTTGGTAAAAGAAGAAATAAGATTACCTGTTACACAGTAATTTATGTGCATGGAACAAATACTTGCATCAAATACATTAGAATTACTATCAATGCAGAAATATCAAAACGTCTAGGATATGATCTATCCACTAATCTACGACATACGTACCACAGATCTTCAAATTACACTAAGAGTAGAGAAACTAAGCTTGATAGGCAATATTAACGCAATAATTAACCGTGAATTGGTCATCTGGAAAAGTCTAATACTATACAGTAGCCCTTATCATTCATTAAATTTCATTGGTTCACGGATTCAGAATGGATCCTAAAAACAATCATTCGACTGTATAGAATATACCATATATGATGTTAGATAAAACCATGAAATCAATTTTTATACTCCTTGACATAGATGACCAAGATCAAAATAAAACTTCTCTGTTCGGAACAATAAGTAAAAATTATCGACCACATTTTCAATAATTCACCAATTAGAGCAATTTTCAATTATTTTGTCTTGGTGGAAAAAAAAGAGTCCAATTCTCTGTTCAACTTTAGTGAAAGTTACAATCTTTATACAATTTTTAAGTACTTTACTCAAGGTCAAATAAAAGTATTCTTTAGGAAGTCAATTACTACTGATAAGCTGAAAAATATGTTTTTAATTCAACTTTAAAAGGACAAGTCAACTAGACTAGACATTTAATTTCGTATATCCTTATCATTAACCAATATAAATTCTAACATAATATCAGATTATCCACCGATAACAAATCGCCGTTTTGTTCGGTTCTGAGATCATTCAACACCACACATATTTCACCTTATTTGTCCTCTAGAAAAGACATCTCCTCATATGGAGTCTTTTCTTTTTACACAGGCAATGAGTAGAAGAATTATACTCTAAGATAGTCAACCTTTAAAATACTCAGCACCAATGCCACTTACTACGATTGGATATTCCCCTGAATGAATATGTACGTATTAGAAAATTTCACTCATATGTATTGAATAAACCATAAATCTGCTCATTTCTAAACGTAGGATGCAAGGGTTCTGTCTTGTATGAGTTTGATAGATCGAAATATTGAAATCCCGAAATGAGATGTTACAGTCCTTCCTGAATTTTAGTAATCATTCAAGTGAATCAAACCCTCGTCAAATATAAAAGTGATACTACTTTACAAGTTTTTCGAAGACCATTTTCAATAAAACATTCAGCTTATTTGTAGAAGTTTTAGATGTATCTATTTATCATTTTGTTCAATCTAGCAATATTTTACGAGAAAAAATAACCGCCTATGCTTACTAACATAATTTTTGTCGTGAGAGTGCATAATATATGTAACATGAATAATATAAAAATAAACCTGACTCAAATCACCCTAATGAAATTCAGTCGCTTCACACATAGCTATTTTGTAGCGGAATTCTTTTATACGATGTGAGGTTGCTAACTCTACGACCCGCCCTCTTTATTAACTGGGTTTTGGGACAGGCAATAGCTCTTGACGAAACTTCAGATGAAGTTACTTTATACATACCAGTAACAATTGCTACTGAAACTAGGATATTTAAAATACTTTGTGGATGATTTATTTATTTAAACTCTAGCTCGTAAAAAGAAATATAAACATATCAGTTTTCAAACCTGTGATCAAGATTCTGAAAACCAAACACATGAACTAACAAACCACAGTTTCACTAAGGTACATACCAAAAAATCATTTAAATCTAGATTAAAGCATTGCTTATAAAAAGACTAATTCATTTATAATATGACACGTAAAACCTGAGCATTGTTTTTTGAAATGAACTAATAGTGAGTACTTTTTCATCTCATTTAAGTTTTTGACACATACAGATAACTGCTGGGAGTTTGACACTTTCTTGAAGTGAAGATGCAGGCTTAACATCTACATGGTTTATAATTTTTGTAGAGGCCTATTCCTCTTTATTTAACACCAATAGACGGTATACCGTTAATCAAGTATTTTAGCAGGCCAGTTCTCCCAGTATTACTATGAATCTACCAGAGAATATTCAGGAGCTGGAACACCAGTTGTTGGAATAGTGTACTGCAAATGATTAATAAAGCCCGCAAGCACGCAAAAGACATACATACAGGGAAGCGAGTGAGAGTAAAAAGCCGAAATATCCCTAGATATTTTGTGAGTGTTAACCACTTGTGAGTAAGTTATTGAGTGTCTTTTTTAACAACCATTAGGAGGATAGACAAAAATTGAGGTGAAGACATGTGTTCAATCAAACTCATACATACTTTTTACATGGTGGGTTAATTGTCTAAGTTACAAGAGGTAGGTAATAAGAAATTATATGAGCTTACTACAGTTTTATCCACTACTTAATTTTGCATGATTGATAAGAACAATAAGAACCATGTTCTTAATCGATAAAAACAAAACAGATCAAATTTTCGGTAAAAACTTACATGCATTTTTTTCCCTTGACTACATGTATTATCATTACTCCCTGTAACTACCCGCGGTTCCTTAAATAACCCAGAGTTTGGTTCACCTGAAATTTTACTTCTCAACTGAATTGGGCATACAGGAACTGGTACTAATGTGTATCTCATAAAGTGTGGATCAACTCGAAACAGTGATGACTGAAAATTAAATAAAACAATAACAGTCAGTTCATCATAATTTAGCTCCTTCCTTACAAACTAATGTAGGGTGTATATGTAAATGATCTAAAATAAAGGTTACAAACCACAAATGGTGTGTGTTTTTTCTGCTTCATAGCAAGTATTTATCAGAGATTTCGAAAAACTATTGATTAATTCAGTAATAGTATTGGACTCGAAATGTACTTTTGATAAACTAGAGGTTGGTTAAGCGCCTAGCGCGAGACCGATAGATCCTGGTTTCGAATCTCGCGGGATGCGGGATCGCGGATACGCACTATTGAGGGATCCCATACTAGGACGAAACGGAGGTCCAGTGTTTCCAGGTTTTCCATGGTGGTCTAGCTTCAACTGACTCATGATTTCAACCATTATATTGTATCAATTAGATGACTGAATTAATGAAAAGTGCTGCTTAAAGAGAATAATTTCCAGATACCACAAACAAACTTTAACAGTCAGCATCAGCCATACTACAAAGAACAATGTGCCGAGTAACTACAGTTTGATAAAATCCTTCACCCACCATCTCATCCAGTCTTATCAGATAAAAGACAAACTCAGTACCCATACCCAAAGGCCTTGGTAAGAACTTCGATTATTTCCCATGACTCTGCCACTCATTTGACGTATAACTATAGAATGATTACTACCAGGTACGAATAACGGTAATTCATCTTTGTTCATAGAGATGCGGTGGTATGATAGCTTTGATCTTCCATATTACCCTGAATAAATCTAAATAAGCTTGCTGGTTGAAACATTAGGATTACTCAAGTTTCAATCAATGAGACTGCTTTAAGCACAGTTTTTACACATGTTATTTTCGATATACTCAGCGCACAATTTCTTTTTAACTGTCCGCCCAAATATTAAAGAATATCCATATGAAAAATTATGGTTTCTGAAGTACTTTAACACGACCAATACAGAACATTTTTGTTTCACAGATTCTGTAATTTACCAAGTTTTAATGATTTCGTTGAATGAACAGGTGGAATGAAAGTGAGCTGGGTATTACATCTGTTATAGTTTCAATGGGAAAAGAGAAAAGCCACCTACATAATACGGAGTTTGTGTGTCGAGATTTTAAAAGCTGGTATGTCTTTGAAAACAAGGAAGTTTGAAAATAAATAAACTGAACTGAAAGTTTTGATGGCAAAATCTCGGACAAATGTAACAACAGCCAAATGTATATGTCTTATTCTGGACTTCTAAGATACTTCTTTGTGAGATCTAATACAGATACTAATTGGAAGGACTACGAAGCTACTCTTAACACTTGGAAACATCTACAAATGAAATTAGGTTTGTGGGGTGTTTATAGCAATAGTGTATGCTAATGAAGCTAATTAATAATTTATAAATGACCCAAGACCTAACAAAGTTTTAGCCAGACTTCCATTAACCCACTTATTACTAATAAAAAGAAATACAGCAATGACACGAAAAGCCAAAGATTCGAAATGATAAAGTAAACATTTTATGAGCTATGTTCGAACACATTACAACAACGATTGGTATTAACTGCTTAATCTTAATTTGCTTTGGCCGTTGGTCTCCTCAAGATCAATCAAGTAAAATAATTATTATTTAATTAACGGTAGTCCAAATCTTTACAGAACTGGTAGAGGTCACAGTCTTAATGTTACATAGATGTCTTAATAGTAATGTGCTACCATACATTTTCTGATACTTTACTCTATTTGGATTCGCCGTGCAAGCGACACATTCACCACCATCAAAAAGTTTCAGATGAAAATTACCTTAAATTTAATCAACAGTGTCCTTAATGACAAGATATTCGACAGTCAAAACGGAGGCAAATAATAATCTACTATTTGAGAGTATGTTGATCACAAGAACAAACACAGCGAACCTTTAGACTCACGTATATCAAGGTCAGTCCAAAATGATCAAACCAAAGAATACGACAACTATAATTCAATGACTTATAAGGTGATCTTCATACAAATACTATTCAAACGAGTAGCGGTATTTGAAGTATTTGGCTACATGCAAAATTTCGTTAACAAATCCCCATCAAACCCATCACCATGTACAAAATTAACAGCAAATGTCAGAAAAAGAATAATTATGATTTACCTGCAAACTTCTCAGAGATTAAAATCAGGTTACTGAAGCCTCTAGGGATATATGTGACTCAAACGCCTACGAAATCGCTGCAATCAATATTATGCGATGAAGAAATATAATAACAGAGGAAGACAAGCTAAGGATTACCTCCAAAATAAGTTGTGGCAAGAAATATATTTCCTTAAATATCTAGCATTTCTATCATGGTAAAAAAAACTCCGGAAGTTCCTCCTAATCTATAAAAGACCCAAATTCAGTAGCACTACAAACATATGGTTAGACAGCCGCAAACAAGGTGAAAGCTGGCAAAAAAAGTTCTCTGGCCTAAGTTGAAGCATCTCACAATGGAAGAGCAAAAGGGGAAGTTGACAAGATGAGTCTTGAGGAATGTATAAATGACAATACTTAATGAAGTAAAAAGTGAACATCGGGAATAAAAATTTAAAAGAATCAGTGAGAGTGAATATTTGAGAGAACGAATAAATACCATCATCACTAAGACTGAAATCTAGCCATTGTTGGGCAAAATTCTGGGTCACAGATTTCGAGTAGCTTTTGGACTTTTATCAGAGCTTTGGCTTAAAAACTTATAAGGGATCTGGAGGTCTTACTAACAATCATCTCTGAAGATGTCAGAGGAATTTACATATACTTTAGTAGAATCACTTTAAAAGGAAATCTTACGTTTTCTATTGACCATAAACTGTGCTTCAGCATTTGTATAAACTAGTGTTAGTTTTGTGTATAACTAACTATAAAGTCTCAAATTCAGTTAAATGTGTCAAGTATGTGCAGTGTGTTCTCTCTTCAGTCATGGTCCAACTGTGACTATTAAAGTACGTGTTGGCAAAATCTGAGGATTCCTTAGTTCACATATCAAAGTCTGTATCCTACTACTTCCAAGTGTTTTACAGCCTCAGTTCCTTAACTTAACTTGCTGCATCCTTTGATTTTAGCGATTTGTTTAAAAAAAGTCATGTCCTCAATATGTATGAACTAGTTTGTTCATATTAACTGAACAACTGACCGCAACCAGATCAGCAACCACACGCATTGTCGAGAACAAAAGTTTCGGATCACTGTACATCAATGTCTATTGAGAGCTACAAAATAACGAGCTATGTTTCCAGAATTTTAACCATATATGTTTCTATAACACTATAGATATTTTCTGAAATCTTACCGTACATTGAAGTTCGGTCGAAGGGCTACCTCTTGTTTTATGTGCAGCCTTTTTTTCTTGATCGTTAACAAATGACTTAATTTTTGAGGTGATATTCCATGGCAGTTGTATTGAAGATTCATATTCCCGAGTCTTAAAATCAACTTTTTGTAGTGAATTTTTGTGAAGTTCAGAGCTGATCGAACTTGTCATAGACGGACTGCTACCAACCAAAACATATAGAATAAAAAGCCTTTGATAAACTAGAGGTAAAAGTGATAAGTAATTTATAACTCGGGTCTCAACTTCATCCATATGTTGAGGTGAAAGAAGCTTCCGTTTGTCACTAGCAAGATTCCAATCCATACAGCCATATAACCTCATTTTAGAGTAAAGAATGTCTTTTGACTTGTTTAACTCCACAAGTTTACAAATATCATCTCGTAACTTATTCAAATAAGGATTACTCATCAAACTCATTAATAGAGCTTTGATGTTGTCCGTGCACCATGAACTCAGGATACACTCACCAATTTTTATTAACTCAGAAAAAATGCAAGTTGCACAACTACAGCAATTATAAAAGTCTTTATTGTTGCAAGAATCCATGAGCGCATTAACTGCAAATAAACTTTAAAAAGTACACAGCCTTATATCGTCCAATTAATCGTATCCAAACTTCAAATTTGTTAAGCAGAAATAACTAGTCTTTTCACACTTCGGGATATATCCCATAAGTATGTTTGTAGATGCAACTACTTCATTACTTGATCTTTTAAGAAGTGACTTTCTAGAACCTTGAATAAACACAGACTTCGCTCACTAAGTACAGATTCAGATTTACGTGGTAAGGATAGAAGACTTATGGCCTGTGTCATTCCCTTTCTATTATGCATCTGCGAGTGTCTGGTCTTCTCTTGAATGAGTCAATTGAAGGTGCGGACACCACTACTTCGGGTAACAGGTTCCAAGTATTGATGACGGTGTGAAAACCTGTATGCCACAGGTATTTTGTTCGTCCTTGGCTTTTCTACTCGCCTGCTATGTCCTCTGAGATGTCCCGATCTGACGGGAAGAAAAAGAGAGAAGAAGTTAGGTCCGAAATCACATCTCAGTATTCTGTACATCAAAATTAGATCTCCCCTTGATCTGCGATAGGACAGAGTAAAGAGGCCCAGCTTTTAAAGCCGCTCTTTGTATGGTAAACCCCGGAGTTCTGGAATTGCACGGGTGGCTTCCCTTTATACTTCTTATAGGATATCTGAGTCACCTTTTAAACAGGAGCTTGCAGCCTGAATTCAGTTCTCAAGCCCAGTTTCCTCTAAGGATGTGTATACTGTGGTGAACATGGTAGTATCTAACTTAATGAATGTCCGTTTTAAAGCCCACAGGGTTCGAAACCCCTTAGATGCGACCTCCCGGCAACTAGCCGTCGTCTTAAGACCATGACTCACTGTCACCCCTAGATCCTTATGTGACTGGACCACGGGTAATTGCACTTCCCCTATGTTGTACCTATTAACCACTAGATCCCCAAAGTTTATATAGATACTTTGCCGCGTTGATAGGCATCAGCCACACTTTAGACCAGTTAGTCACATTATTTAAGTCTGTCTGAAGAGCAGATGTATCTGCGTCTCCAGTTGTTAGTTGCCAGATCTTTACACCGCCAGCGTATAATAACATTGGAGACTGTACTATACTTGGAAGATCATTAACATACATCATAAAAAGTAAGGGACCTAGGACGGAACCTGGAGGTACCCCGCCTAGTTCTGGTCTCCAGATGGAGCGCTTGGAATTTATTCTCACTTTCTGTCTACGACCTACTAGGAAATACTTAATCCATTTTAAAAGATGTCCGGCAATACCAAGGTTTTCCAACTTCAATAGCAGTCTATTAGTTGGCACCTTGTCAAAAGCCTTACTGAAGTCTATGTAGACAACATCCACTAAGTTTCCGTTGCTTGGCGCCTTTGTAGTGACTCACATTTATCACGAGAACACGACTGGTTTAATAGAAACAATTATTATTATAACCAACTGTACCCGTGCTTGTTTTAATGTGCTTTTGTTTGACTGTGCTAATTACAGCTATTTTGTGCTTCCATTCTTATACTTACACTTTGATTGTAACTTCGCGCGAATTTGGTTACGTTCTGTAACCAAGCTTGTATCCTGGCACGATCTCGGTATCCTTTCGATGCCATGAGATCGCCAGCAAATAAACATCAACTTGGTCCATTAATTGCCTTCTGGTATTCGGCTTCTCGGGGATTTTATGGAGTCATTTGGAACGAGCTCCTTACGCCTTCTGATCTAATTGGCACGTGTTTCTTGGTAGCGGTGTTCATAGTCAATTTCGACTCGACGCCACGCTACAATTGGTAATCCCAATCCGACTACACCTTCTTCCAAAACTCCCTTGCTATAAGGAGGTTCGTTGTACAAGACAGACCCTTTCCAAAACCATGTTGTTCTATGTTTAGCAAGTTATTGGTTTCCATAAATGCCATTATGGTCCGTCTGACTATGCTTTCCCATATTTTAACTACGACACTGGTGAGGCTTACAGGTCTAGAGTTGAATGGAAGTTGTCTCGGTCCTGTTTTATGTATGCGAGTGATGAGTGCGTCCTTCAAATCCATAGGTAACACACCTTGGTCAAGTGACATGTTGAATATCACAGTCAGTTGTGCCGCAATATATTGTGTAATATGTCTCAAGATTTTGGAGTGTAGTTCATCTGGTCCTGTCGACTTTTTCATGTCTAAGGTGCTGAGAGCCTTAAGTAAGAAGGTGGTTTGTTGACTCTGTATTTGTGTCTGGTTCTTTATCTTTAGGAGGTTTCTGAGTGAAAACTGCCCCAAAATAGTCAGCTATTGCCTCTGCTTTTTCCTGATTTGCCTCTATCATTTCAGATCCACTCCCTTCTTTGATTAGGTCGGGAATCCAATGATGCATCTTTGTTCTGTAGTCTATGTACGAGAATATCTTCTTAGGCTGCTTGAGTGTAGATTGCGCCAACTGCATTTCATAGTTTCTTTGAGCTTCCCGAATTTCAATTATACACGTGTTTCTTACCGATCTGCAGCGTCCCATAGTACCTGCTGTACCAAAACTAATAGCAGCATTCCAACATTTCTTCTTTTGTCTTGGTAAACGTCGAGTATCCCGGCCTATCCACTGGTGGTCGTGCTTCTTCTTCTTTGGGACAGTCCAGGGTGGGTATGGTTGAGTTACTCCACTGTATAACTGCTTGAAATAAGTCCGTGCCCCTTGTACTAAAACTCTTGAGTAAATTTTCCAGCTTTCAGCCGATGCGGAGGAGTTGATTGCTCCCATATCGGGCCGTCGGCAACTGTTTGACAGGCAATCCAGCCATGAATTTGAATTATATGACTTCATGGTCCGTTCTCCCTAGTGATGGGGGAAGAGTCATTTGGCCGACATCATCACTATCTACAACAGCTGGATTGGGATGTTCACTCTCAACTCGGTGTGGATACTCAATGGGACTTCTTACTGCACACGCTCTCATTTGCTACAAAGCAGTCAGTTCCTCAAACGGTCTCCAATAGCTACAAGCAACCTACAGTCATCAAGAACCACACTCTTCGCCTGCTAAGTCGCGAAAGGCACTGTTGGGCAGAATATAAACGAACTGACAACAATGGAGTGTACAGGCAATACAAACATATGAGGAACATATGCGCGACAGCTATAAGAGAAGACAGGCTTCATTACCAGATAAAGCTTATGGACAAATTTGCATCCAATCCGAAAAGCTTATTCCGTTAGGCAGCCTCTCTTCGTCAAGCAAAAACTGGAGTTTCCCAACTGCTAGGTCCTAACGACCAGACCAATAACGATGGCGACACCGCTGACCTTTTGGCTGAACAATACTCTCGGACATTTCAACCGACCCACATCAACTATACTGAGGACAGCTTCATTTGTAACGGCACAGGACTTTCCATAGTACACCTGAGCGCTGACTTGGTGTTCCGGAAACTACAGCACCTAGGAAAATGCATTTCTCCTGGCCCAGATATGGTCCATTCTGGTATACTGAGAGAAGCAGCCTCAACTTCACTTTATCTCAGGCTATGGAATGTTCTAGTGGGGTCCTCCAGGGCTCAGTACTAGGACCTCTTCTCCTCTCGATCTACATAAATGATCTTCTACAATAGATAACGTCAGATTTATTACATTTTGCTGATGAAGTGAAACTTTAAAGGGAGATATACGCGGCCATGACGATATACAGGCACTTCAGGAGGATCTGACTCGACTTCAAAGTTGGGCAGACGATAACGGACTTATCTTTAACACTTCAAAGTGTAAAGTAGTCCATCTGCGACATGTTGCAGACTACATTTATAACTTAGGAAACACCTCTCTAGTAGTATCCCTAGTCGAAAAAGATTTAGGAGTCCTGGTGCCCTACGATTTAAAGTCTTATGGTAACTGTGACAAAAACGCCTTCCGAACAAACCTTGCACTGGTAACATTGAAGCGCATTTTTGGTCAGTTTGACGAAAGAACTTTCCCTATAATCTTCAATAGTTTTATCCGTCCCCATTTAGATTAGTATTTTGTCCCTCACTCCCAAAGGATGACACTCTGGAGCGTACCCAAGAGCAAGCCACGAAGTCAGTTCGAGAACTCAAATTTAAACCTTATGAAGAGCGCCTCCATTCACTTAACCTTTATGCATTAGAGTATAGGCGTCTTAGAGGTGACCTTCTGATGGCTTACGGTATCCTTAACACTTCTGGACATCTTAAACACCTACTTAAGCTTAGTCACAATACCAACCTAAGGGGTAGCACCCAGAAATTGGAAACACAACATAGCAGAACGGATTGTAAACACAACTTCTACTTCTTAGGAATTATCGAATGCTGGGATTCGCTGCCGGCCAAGCTAGTCCAAGCGACTTCCTAGGAGTCCTTTAAGAGGCAACTTGATCTATTCTTAAGGACTAAGGATAGTATCACACTATGATTAACTAATTTCTTTTCCTCTTTTATTGTTAACATACCTAGGTTCCTGCCTGGAGGATTTGGTGATCCCTTGCTACTAGACACGGAAGCCTGTTAAGCGAAAGCTTCTTCTATTCTGTCCACAACCATTTGAACCACTTGAACCATTTGTTTAAAATCACCTGGAGGCGCTAGTCTTCACTGTAAGTAGCTGGATTGCTGTATAGACATGGGTCACGAAAACATTTGGCACTCACGTCCGAAGAATTATGGTCAAGGCAGTAGATGCTGTCGTGTTTGTTCCAATCGACATGGGTTGATCCGGAAATACGGTCTACATATGTGCAGACAATGCTTTAGACAGTATGCTTCTGTAATTGGCTTCAAGAAGTTTGACTAATAATACAAGTTATCATGGATTAATTGTTATTGTTATTAATCTCATTTCCTTAAGTTTGACGTCACAGTAATGTTCCGTTGTAGTACTGTCCTTGTGTTGTACCGTCAGGATATAACATACGTATTGTACTTAACACAGCCTCACTTGTTTCTATTCTTGTGCTATATGGTAGTATGTGTATTTAAATTTATGGCCCTCACCTTAATATGTACAGTATCATA